TATGAGAACATAATCCAAATTACAAGAAAAGGGACTCCATCCAGTCTGTTTATAGCCACAAAAGGGGATCCTGGGGGGTCTTTGCAAGACAATTTGTTTACTAAAGGCCACTCAGGACCAAGTGTTCAGAAAATGCTAAAATGCTACCAGAAATGGTACTGGGAAGCGAGCCGAAAATAATATTCCACCTGGGCTATACCCAAACCAGGCCATTTTATTACCTTCCCCTCGAGAAAAATATCTCGCAACTATTTAAGGGTGAGCAACATAGTCTCTCAGGGCGTTTCACGAGAGGCTGTGCTCCTTTGTTCCCTAAGGGCTCTAGTGCGGAAAGATGAAGCCAGAAAAGTGATATGGTCAAAGTCTATAATACTTCGAAGGTTATGGAAAGAGGGAGCAAGGACTGGTTCATCAAATCTGAGATGACCGGACCCCAGGGTAGCCCCTGAAGTTCGAAAGAGGAATTTGAGGGATAAATTAAAAATAAGGATTAATTCCCACTCTTGAGTTGTAAATTGTTAGTTTCTCAAATATGGTCTAGGCAAATATTTTTCAGGGGGTAGGAGCATGGGAGGATGCTCAAAAAATTTTGCCAAACGCGTGGCCAATAAACAAATGATGGATTGAGAGCCATTGGCAGCGTATTCCCACATTTCCAAGGTTGGCAAAAATCCCCAGGACCGGTGTTGGATCATTAGCTTCCTCCATATTAGACAGGGTTCTGTTAGGACAAGTGAGAGAAATCTAAATCAAACTGGTTTCAGCAAAATAAGGAACTTTGTGGGCTCCCATAGCTGGAACAAGTACTAGTGTAGCTCACAGGCGCTCAGGAAGAGCCACAGGGGGAGTCCGTGCTGAAGAGTGGCTTGGAGAGGGTTAGCCCCGAAAATCCCCATCACTCCCAGAAAGCTTGCCATATAAAGTACAACTTAAGTGAAAAGAGTATGACAGCTCTGCAAATGCAGCCTCAACCCCCAATACTCATAAACACTTCCCACCAGATTGCTACCCCTAACCCGTCCTGTGTTGGAGTCAGAGACCAGATCTGGGTCTTCCCCTATAGCAACGGTCGCAGGAAAGATTCTGATTGGTCTCGCTTGGGTCACATGCCAATCACTGTTTTATTGAAAGTGATTGTTAAGTTATCTGTTTTGCTTTGACTTTAAGCCCAAGGGGCATAAACTAATTGACTTGATCTGGATCTTCTGTGCACCTCCCAGGAGGGAGGAGGGCATGGGCCTGAGATTGATGGTACTAGAAACCCAGCTATTCCCCTACACATTAGGAGAGTACCTTAAAAATGCCGATGCCCAGGTTCTGCCCCCAGAGTTTCAGATTCAGCTGTTTTGGAGGGGGGCCTAGGCATCTGTATTATTTTTAAGCCCCCACACTGGTCTCCCAAAAGAATAGCCCCACCCACCACCTCTTGAGGCCTTGGGTCGGGCTCCCAGGAGCTTCGCAGGCTTTCTCCAGCTCTTGCTCTGTTTCTGCAGCTTCGCCTCTTTCTCCTACAGCCGTACTCCAGCGTTTGCAGATCCGCAGGCAAGCCACACCCTGCACATGCTGTACTGGGTGTTCCTTCTACCTGGAGTTCTCTCTCTGCTCCTCCCTCCTTGACGACCATCTTCCCCAGCACACAGCACACTCCCGCACGGGGACAGCATCCCTCCCCTCCCTGCACCCCAGGCTGGGCTGGAGGCCTCTGGCAGAGTCTGTGTTATGCTTTATTGAAAGCGATTGTTAAGTCATCTGTCTTGCCTTGACTAAGCCCGATGGGGGCTTGCTCACCATCATTGGAATGAACGGCACACACAGCACGCCAAGCATGGGGTTTGCAGTGCTCAGCTCTGCATTTTTGAGCCAGTTATTGGGTGAGTACTTCTGCTCACTCAGCTCAGTTTCCTCATCTGCAAAATGAGGACGATAATAGAACCTACCTTAGCTGAAAGTGTCTAGAAAGGTACTTAGCCAGCACCCGACACAATATGAGAGCATATCAAAATATTAGCCATTATTTCAAAAGACACACTACCTTTTCAGTAAAGATCCTTTACCACTCATCTTTTTCTGTTATCTATTTCTACCAGCTGTTCAAAGACAGGGGCTGTCTTATTTATTTCTTTATCCCCCGAGGACTAGCATGCAGTACGTCCTGAATGGTATATTTATTAACTGATGACTCAGGCCCTAGATTTGGGAACATTCTGTTCTTACCCAGAAGCAGGAAAAGTTAGCGTCCTTGACCACCACTGCCCCTGGGAGGGCTTCAGCCATCTGCAGAACCCTTCCTTTCAGAACCTCCCTGACCCCCATCAAACAGCCACCCGCAGAGTGGAGAGGGAGAGAAGGTGGCAGGGGTGAAGCATCAGCAGTGGGGCCTCCACAGCCAGGGCTGAGGAAAGGGAGCAGGAGCTATGCAGAAGAAGGTCTCTGTTCCAAGGCCTAGGCTGCAAGTTAGCCAAGAGAACATAAGTGGGCAGACTCTATGAGGTTATTTGTTTCAAGTCACCTACACTTTGTGAGTTAAATGAGTTTCTATGGCTAATGGAGTGCTGAGTTCTAAAACCCAACATTTTAAGAATTTCTGGCTCCTGCAGAGTTGAGAAGTTGTTAAAAGTTGGTTGGTCTGGCCAATGTAGCCAGATTCCTCAAGGTCAGCACAACCCCATACTGCTCTATTTGGGGCTAGATTTCTCATGATAGTCTAAACTGTGTGGTGGCCAAATCCGCAATTTGAGGATGTCACACATTCCTCCTCACGAGAAAAAATCCCTTTGCATCCCTTTCCTAAATTACTTGCTCATGCCATAGACTTGGGTCTCCTCCCAAATGGCAGCCAGTCCCCTACCAGGACTCTGGGGACCTCCCATGACCCAGTGCCTCTTCCAAATTGTATTCCATTTCAGTCTTGGGGTAACAATATTATCAGCGTATCCCTTACAGGGGAAAAAACTGAGATGTAGAGGTTAAAAGTCCTGCTGCCAAAGGTCCACTCTTGGGCGAGGGAAGGGCCTGCTCTCGGGTTTTCTGCAGGCTGCACTTCTCTGCTAGATCCTGAGCCCTGGTCTCTGACCAGCAGATGCTGCCGCAGTGATGGTGGTTCACGACTGTCCAGGCGACTCGGAATGCTAACGATCCCGTCTCTCTCATTAGCGAGAGAACTAGAACTAGCTGGTGAAAAGCAGAATCTAGCAAATGGTGTTAATTGGTGGCTCTCAAAGGTGAAAAGGCCACTAGGTGCCCCTGCAGTCTGGCTCCGTGCCTGCTGAGCGTGCGGGACAGCTGCTGGAATGGGCTGCCGCCTGTGATTCTACAGGTGGCCGGCTGGGTCGTGCCCACGGGGTGGCCAGGGTTGAAAGGAAAACCACTTGAAACCTGGATTTTGAGATGATAGGTTTTCACTGTAGCATTTTGCAAACCAGTACCTAAAATGAACCTCAGTTTGGGAGCACAATGATGAGACAGAGCCTGCTGATCTGAGACCTGAATATTGGAGGTAAATACGACGGCACCCCAACTCTGAAGAACAGTTGAATCCATGGCACTTTGACCTAAGGGAAACAGCAGCTTCCTGCTGCCCCATTGCACAGCACGGCAGGCTGAGGCATAGGTCCCCTTTCTTACCAGTTTTGTGGAAGCAGGATTCAGAAGTCTTGCTGCCCAGGTGGTGTCCTCACAGACATAGGGCTTCCATCCGTTTCCTCAAGGCTTGCCCCTCACTGCCCTCCTCTCCTGGCAGGCAGAGTCCTAAATACCGGCGCAGCCCTGCAGCCTGTGTGGCCTACAGCAAGTGAGGACTACAACAGTGCTCAAGAGAAACATCTAAATTGGATAAAAACCCAGAGTGTTTTTTCCCAAAGAACCAGATGGGCAGGCTTGGGAGTAAGGGGTGGGGGGCGGGGGTAGAAATTGGTTGGACTAAAAACACTTGCTCTGGCCTATTTGTGTTTCATCCAAAAGATGTTTCTCAGGGGAAGCTGCCAGTCCCTGAAATATCACAGCAGCAGAAGAGCTGCAGGGCCTAGGGAACCTTGGGGAGGAGACCTTTTCTCCTAGAAAAATAAGCGACCCAGTTAAGAAACGTCACCACCCTGAAGCCCTCCTAAGAGCGACACTTGGGGCCTTGCGGACAGAGCCAAATGGCCGAGAGGGATCTGGGACCAACGTAGCCACGTCTCCGGAGTGGCAGCTGTGACCCGGGTGGCAGGGTCAGGCCCTTAGGCGCCCGACTCAGGGCACAGCCCGAGCAAGTCCTCAGGAAGCAGCGAGGTGCTTGGACGACCTGGGAGAGGCGACCGGAGCCCAGTCGGGATGGGCGGGCGGGAACCTCGAGGTGCGAGGCGCGTTAGTAGCTGGGATCCTACATCCTGCCCAGACCCGGACAACTTGGAAGTGGATTTTTCAGCCTCCTGCACCGGGGACACATGAGTGAGAAAAAAGAGCCAGGGAGTGCCGGTGGCGGCTTGGGGACGGCTGTCTGGTTGGAAAGGAAGGCTCGTCTCCAAGCACAGTTTCTACTTGGATTGGACATTCGTGGAGAGGATTACGGGGCCGCGCTGCCGCCCGTGTGCCCTGCGGGGCTTGGCCGCCCCAGGGGTGCTGGGCCTTTCTTCCGAGGGCAGCCGCGCGAGGGCCGGGGAGCTGGGGCGCGCCCTGCGCTCGCGGGCCACGGGTTCTCGAGGTCCCAGCGGCAAGCGCAGCAGCAGCAGGGCGGCCTCGGTCCCGCCCGGCCGCCTCCCCCAGCCCCCGCCTCGCGCGCGGAGCTGAAACCAGAGCGCGAAGGGCGGGGCGCGCGGCGGCGGGGGCGCGGGGCGCCTCGACATTGGAGGGGAGCCGGGTGATGGATGGCGGGGCGGGGCGCGCGGGGAGGGGGAGCGCCCGGCGCCCGCGGCCGAGGTGGACCGAGCCTCCCGGCTCGCTGCTCCCGCCGGCGGAGCGAGGCTGCCCTTTCTCCGCAGCGTGATTTATTTTTCTTCCTTTCTTCTGAACTCTTCTTCCAGGGAGAGGCTAGTGGTAACAGGCCGAGCTGGATGGATGGGTATGGGGAGAGGGGCAGGACGTTCAGCCCTGGGATTCTGGCCGACCCTCGCCTTCCTTCTCTGCAGCTTCCCCGCAGGTAAGGCACTGCCCCCTGGGCGGGGGACAGCCGGGTTCCCGGCCTCCCGGCCGCACTGGGCCACGAGTCCGCGAGTGAGTCGGGGCTCAAGTTCGCTGCCCCCTCCGGGCCCCACCTCCCACTTCCACGGGCCTTTGTTTCTCCCGCACCCCACCGAGGGCACTCTGGATGCCCATGGGGACCCAGAGGGGGGTACTCCGCCCGAGCTGCGGTAAGAAGGAGCCGGGCAGCGAGGTCGCAGGGGCCGGGGGGGCCTCTCTTCCCTCCCTGTTTCTGAGAAGGGGGTTGTCGAGGACATGCCTCCTAGGGGCTCCGGGAGAGGCGGAGAAGGGGAGGCATGCGCTCGGTGCTGGGGGCACTTCTTCAGCTCCTTGCCCACCAGTTCGCAGACCTGCCCGGCGCCCAGGGGTGGAGCCAGGGGCGCCCCTGAGGTCCTAGGCGAGTTCCCGACCGCCCTCGCCCCAGAGACCTCGTCCTGCCCCGCGCGCTTGCCCACGCGGGGACACCCACGGACCCGGCTCACATGAGCTCGTGTTGCTGTTTGATAACATTCTGCGTCGCCCCCTGTTTGTTTTGCTCGTGTCAGAAAGGGAGAGAATTTCAGAATTAAAGCTGAAAAAGCCCATCTGTTTCCAATGAATCCCCCATAGTTTTTCACAATGTTTTTGGCAGATTGCTGCTTTCAAATTCCTCGGAGCCCGGACCTCTTGTTTTTGTTGGGGGAAGGGAGACCAACTCCACAGAGAAGCATTTGTTCCTTCCCAAACGCTCCAGTTTCTTTACTTTTTTTTCCTTTCGGGGGGAGGGGGTAGGCACGAAACTTAAATCCCAGGCCTGTTTTCTTTATAATGTTTCGTAAAACTTTATTTCATTTTTGCCATATGCTGCTCACAGCCTGGAAACGCCGGTGAAACCCATTATACCCATTTTTCTTTTGCAAAAAATACAGATAAACACAGTGTCACGGGCCAAACGGGCCCCCGTGCAAGGCAAGATCTCCCAGTCATTTCCACTGTGTTGCCGGGTTCAGAGGTGTCTTTTTGCAAAATTAAGAGCTAGTTTTGCACAGCAGCCGGGCGCGGATCTGCAGCCCCCGCGCATGGTTGAGCTTTGCAAGACAGGACTTGAGTTAGACTTGGATTGGATTGTTTTGTTTTGCTCTTCAGCCAACTGGGTTTCAAGGAACTGGCAAAACTGGGCAGGTCCGGCCTGGCCTGGCTGCGAATTGGGGCTCCTAGTAGGCGGATCACGCAGACTGTGAACTGCAGGGAGCAAGGGATCAGTTTACCCTCTCACCCCAGACCTGCTCCGGGGCCCCAGCACCCACTTGGCCAAGTGCTGGCCAAGTGAGCCCCGGGAGAGTCCCAGAGAGTCACAACCTGCTCTTGATCCCCAGATTCCAGCGAGAGGCCGGGCCAAGGAAAAGATTGGGGTGGGGCTGAGGGTCCCCAAAAATCATTCAGCCCTGGGGCACCCTCCACCTGGAGTATCAAAACCTCCACAGGGGTCAAGCAGCAGGGTGTCCTCTCCCCACCCCCATTCTTTTTAAAAGGCAGTTTCTCCACCTACTAAATAAAGAGTCTGCCTGAAAGGCTGATTTGGTTCTCTCCCAAGAATTAAAAAAAATAATAAAAATCAGCCTCTTCTTTAAAAAGTCTCCCTTTCGGAAAAGCAGGAGTTTGCAATTTGTGTTCATCTCGGTTTGTTCTAGATAAAGATCCAGCCCATTGGAAGTTTTATCAGATGGGTTGATAAATGGCTTTTGTCCCTTGGCTGCCATGGGGGATGTGATCTCAGCTCAAAGCTGAAATTGAGAAGGGGGGCTTAGAGGCCCTTAAAACAACACCTTCCCGCTCTTAAAGCTGCAGCACTTGTTAACTTTTTGGGCTAGAGAGAGAGGAAAGGAAGGTCTGGCAGAAGCTCTCAGAGGTAGGGCCTGCAAGGGCTGGGTGGTGGTGTCTTTGTTGTTTCTGTATTCATATCTCTGTTTTAAAAACTTTATTTCAAAGTGTCTCTGCATAGTCTGAGGAACGCCGGTGGGTTATATAATTCACAGCCCAAATTCCATCACTTTTGTTTCCAAGAAGCCCATTTCTTACTGGCTTCAAAGTGGGTAACTAAAACCTGGCAGATAGAACAGATAGCTGCTCAACTATCACGCCAACTGGCTAATGTTTCCTCTCATTTGAGCCCTTGACAGCTGCATTTAGTCAAAATTGCCCACCTTACTGAAAAGTGAGCTTCCAGTATCCCAAAACGAAATATCCTGGGGTCTCTGAAACTTGTACACTCAGGACAGTTTCTGAGGGAATGAAACTGGGTGATTTCTGTTGACAAAGAGACAGACTGTCACATTCTGTGATGCTTTGGCCCAGCAAAGGGGCTGCTTTGGAATAAAGTTAGCAAACCTGCAGGTCTGGTGGAGAGCAGGGTGGGACTTAGAGAAATAAAGAAAGCCCTGGCAAGTGCAAGGCACCCAGACACACTCGGGGCCCCGTGTACCTCGGCCTCTTGTGCTGGAGACAGGTGGAAACTGGCTGAGCAGCCCGTGAAAGCCTGAGTTTGTTCAGGACTAGCCAGCTTGAATGGCTGCCAGGAGTAAGCCCGTAGGAGTGCAAATTGAACTGGACATAGTTATGTGGAGAGAGATGCCTTCACCTCTGCCGCACTGAGAGTGTTTGTGTGTTTCGGGAGTGTTTGCATTTACTTACTCGACGCGGATGGCCAATGTACTGTGTTCCTGACTCAGTGACAACTTTTGGGGCCTCCTGACCAAGGCACTCAGGAAGACCACAGCCTGGTAACAAGAAAGGGCCTCTGCACAGTCCCATGGGCTGGAAGGGTGTCTGCTTGGGTGATGCTGTGGGGACAGAGGACAGGCAGACAGTGGCCACATCTACCTAGGAAGGGGAGGCCAGAAAAGGCTTCTCAGAAGAGCATCCTACAAATAACATCCTTTTCATCCTTTCGTGTAGTTAATACGTACTTTTTAAACTTTGAAGCCATTGTGACTTATTCAAACAGATTTCTAAGAGCAGTCCATCCAGGGCATATGCTTTGGACGTGTTGACATGCGTCCTGCTCTCGACGTATGGATCCTGTACAGTGTTTCTCAACGTTGGATCCTAGACGGGCAGCATTAGCCTCCCCCGGGAACTTGTCAGAAATGCAAGTTCTGGGCCCACCTCAGACCTGTTGAAGCAGAAACTCTGGGGCCAGGGCCTTGCAGTCCGTGTTCTACCAGGCCATCCAGGGGATTCTGATACATGCTCAAGTTTGAGGACTACTATTCCAAGAGCTGTTAGACTTTAGCCCTTCTTTATTCCTTCTTTCTTTCCCTTATACTTTTAAACTATAGCTGTTTGGGAAATGTTAGTCCTCAGTGGGAAACTAAGGCCTGGGGAGACCAAGGCCTTCTGCAGTGTCCAGGCTCATCTGTGTCGCTATAGAAATGAAAATATTTCCGTCAGAGCTGCTATTCAAAAATCTGCAAGCAAGTCAGCCTGCTTCCCACATCATTGCTGTCCCACTAGGACTTCCTGTCCCAAAGAAAAGTGTCCTGGTCCTTTGGGGCTGCTATAACAAGATACCACAGGTGCATGGCTGATAAGCAACAGTTTATTGCTCACAGTGCTGGAGGCTGGAAAGTTCAAGGTTAAGGCACTGGCAGATTCAGTGTCTGGTGAGGTCCTACTTCCTGGTTCATAGATGGCGCCTTCTCCTTCTGTGCTCATGGTGCAAAAGGGCCGGAGAGACTCTTTGGAGTTGCTTTCAAAAGGTCACTAATCCCATTCGTGAAGACTCCACCCTTATGACCTAATTACCTCCCAGAAGCCCCCCCTTCAGGCCATCATATTGGGGGTCAGGTTTCAACACACGAATTTGGGAGGAGGGAGGATGCGAACATTCAGTCCATAGCAGAAAGAATGAAATGATGTCGAATTACGAGAACCGGATGGCCACAGAGCCAGCTAGCAGCTGGTGTGTGAAGCGGTCAGCGGGGCAGAGCCTTCGCTCCCAGGGAGAGCGCACATGTAAAACCCCGTGGATGGTTAGCCCCTTAGGCCCGGGAGGTGAATTGGGGAGGAAGGGAAAGGATCTCTGGTCTTCTGGTTTGAAGAAGGGAAACCTCTCTGCAAGGTTGGAGAAATTGCTGGTAGTCACCCCAGCGCTCAGAGGAGACAAGCTGGGGAGAGGTGACCCATGGGCACAGATAGGACTGCTCTATGAGATAGGGAAGAAGGGCTCCAGGACCTGTGCAGGTAAGAGGGTGGGGGTGGGGACCAGTTTACATGTTGCAGGAAATGTGGTTCCTGCTAAAGATTCTGTCTTGGGTGACACGTGCAAGGCCTAGAACTGGACCGAGCACCCCACTTTAGGTTTTGATTGTGTAGCAGTTAGTGCCATGCTCTTTTGCTTCTTAACTAAAATTCAACCTGTCTAAAACTGAAGGCAATATTTCTTATAGGGTGACCGACTTACTCTAGTTTACCCAGGACTTCCTAGTTTTAAAACTGAAAGCCTCATGTCCTAAGAAGCACCTTCAGTCCTGGGCACACCAGTGTGGCTGGTCACCCTAGTTTCATCCCTGCCTGTTCCCTGGACTCACACCTTGCCTGAGTCTATTAGGGACACCACAGTCCTGGGTGGGCCTCTCCATGCAGTCCAGTCACCTGGGCCTGGGCTCCTTCCTCCGCTCTGTCCTGCCCGTTCCCACTGCCACCTTGTCACTATTGTAGCGGCCGACAGCGCTAGGACAGCGCTAGAGCCCTAGGACCTGCCTCCCTGCCCACCCTCCATGTTGCCGAATGGGTCACTCTAAAACCCCTGCTCAGGAACTCAGGGCTCTTTGTGGCCCCTTTGGAGTATCAAGAAGAGAGGACCTCTGACTCCTGGCCCCACACTCTTCCCAAGCCTCATTTTTACAGCTTCTGGCGTGTCCCCAAGCCCCAGGTCACCCTTTGCTTCCCCATGTACCATCCACCCCACCTTGCTCAGGG